GTTGCCGAGACCAGCAGCAACAAGTTTTCAAAGAAATGGAATTAGTAATCTTGATATCGTTTCTTTATCTAAAGAAAAATTATAAAAAATACAAATACAGTAACTTGTTGTTGAAGGGAAACGGAACCAGGAGCCGAAGGCTGTGGTCCTGTTTTGTGACGGGGTTTAAATTTCATACTATATTTTTAAAATTTGACTTGATGTGATAGGTTGGATAAATAAAATTAGAAAAAAAAATTAATTGGTCGAATTAAAAATTCAGTCACAATTCATTGATTATTTTTTAACAAAAAAATATTTTTTATTAAAATAAAATTAAGATGGTGTCCCAGTCAAAACTCGTGAGCTGATAAAAGCGTCTGATCTGGACCTGGGGCTGAGTTCACTACCGGATTGAGTTTAAAATCTATGGTTCAGGCAACTCGGAAGGAATGTCAATTTCGTTAATAAAGACAATATTAGGGGCCTTTAACTAGCCATCAAATACACTCCTTAAAAAGTCCTATATAAAGTGAACAAGTCGAATGTCTACTACACTAAATCACGCACCCGCACGAAAACCCTTTTTTAAAGTATTTCCTAGTAAGGAGACAAAACATACACAATACATGTCTTTCTCCACGCAAACTCCGTGTTCCTCCAGCACCGCAACAACCACCGTGGAAGCCTCCATGGCTACCTCAATCTCCACCATTCACCCGGACATCCTCCAAGCCCACATCCTAAACCGACTAGACGGCCTCTCCTTGGTCTCCACCGCATGCACTTCTACCGAACTAAATTCACTAGCATCCCAACAAGACTTATGGACCGACATATGCCACTCCATTTGGCCTTCCACTAACACGCCACGTATACACGAAATAATCTCCCGCTTACCCAACGGCTGGCGCGCTCTCTTCTCTGAATCCTTCCCTCTCACCACAGGCCCCCGGGTAAATCCCCCACGAGACCACGACCATCCATCAGAACTGATCTCAGCCGTCGATATTCATTACAAAAATAAGCTGATTTTTTCCAAGGTTGTTGAAACAGAGACTTCAAGCTCGTGGTTTTTGTGCTCTCCCTTCAGGATCGACATGCTTGATCCGAAGGACACGTGTCCGACTCCCATACCGAATTCAGGTTCTGAGGAAGCATGTCGCGATCTGGCTGGTGATTTGAGTTTGAGCTGGATATTGATTGACCCGACCCGTTTACGATCGGTGAACCTATCGAGTCACAAACCGGTGTCGGTTCAGAGGCATTGGCTGAGCGGCGAAGTGCACGCGCGGTTTGCGACAGTGTTGGCGGCAGGAGAGAGAGGATCAGCATCAGAGACTGTGCAGTGTGGGATAGTCGTCACGTGCGGAGGGGGAGCTCAAGGAGGGGAGATGCACGTGAGGGGAGTAAGCCTGCAAGTGGAGGATATGGATGGTGTTTTCTTAAACGGGAAGGGTAGTTTGGGTGTTTTGAATGCGGGGTTTGAGGGTAAAAAGGGAATGAGCGGGAGGAGGGAAATGGAGGGACGGAAAAGGTACGAGATGTTTTTGGAAAGGAAGAGGGAGAGGAGGGAGAGGAAGCTGAAGAAGGAAGGGGCTCTGGACATGCTGTGTGTGTCTTTCGGAGTCATGGTTCTTGTCTCTCTTGGGTTATTTCATCTGCTGAGATGAACTTCAACCTTAATTTTCCCAGGTTGTGAGAGTTGTAAAGGGGAAGGTGTAGAGAGGGAGAGAGGGAGAGTTAAAAAAACACTCCTATCAAACAAGTGTACGGGCGATAAAATTGTTATCCTGTGACACTCGTCGGTGGAGCCACGCAATTAATTTGACGGCAGGGTGGATGCGGAGATGCATGATGTGTCTAGTTCTCATCTGCCGAACGCTGCGTTGCATTTATTAAAACTTATTTCAATAACATGGTCTGGAATTAAGTTCTTGTCAGTAGGCCGGAGCAATTTTGGCGGCTCGAAGAACATAGTAAATGACGAAGAAACGTGAGGAGTTTACGAGTATGGGAGCAGCACAAAGAATGCCAGATGCCAATACCTCTCTGGTTGTTGATTCACGAGGAAATGCTTCCCTTAATTTTGTCATCCCAGAAAGAATAGGGATACAAATGAAGAAAGTTTTTACAACAAGGAGTGTCAAAAGCATGATTGAAACAAAGAGGGTTTTTTTTTTTTTAAAAAAAAAAGATTCCAACGATCAAACATACAAAAAGTATCTTTCCGAATAAGCTCTGGTATTCTTTCCTTATAGACAAGTAATGGCGAGAGCTCAATTAAGCTCTTTTTTGCATGAATGCTCGTACTCACTGCAAATAGAAATTGAATTATAGAATTCTGTGCAATTTCTTTCAATAATGACGAAGTTAACGGTGAAGTTTGTGACGTCGATCGATAATTACCGACACGATATAAAAGTTTCTCTTCAACGTGACAAGTTGAATAAGTTATAATCATCGAGGAATTTCACATATAATGTGTAAAAGAATATAATTTTCAAATGAATATAATTTTGATGTAAATTATAAATAATTTTTTAATGCATAGTATGGTTTTGGACTGAAAGACATAAAAAATTAGTTTATTTATACTATATAAAAAATAATAAGATATTTACATTAATTAATAGTTGTAAAGTTGTTTTTTTGTTTTTGTTTTTGTTAAATAAGTCATCATCAATATATAAACAATATAGAAAAATAAAGCTGAAATGAATATTATACCACCAATACTATGTGGCGAAGAATTAGATAATACAATTTTATAGTAGGAGAGTACTGTATTTATTTTTTATTTTATTAAAAAATATTTATTAGTTTTAGTGTAACTCATAATTAGATAACATAAAGTAGTTTTTAAGTATTTTTTATTAGAAAACTAATGTTTTCCGATATAATTTGAATGTATGCATATTAAGAACAATGTATTTGATAATATTTTTAACACACTTATGAACATAAAAGAAAAGGTAAAGAATAATATAAAAGTTAGAATGGATTTAATTTTGTATTATGATCATTAGAATATAGAGTTTTTTAATAACCGGATATGTGTCGAAAAGCCCAAACCACATTTATCTTATATAAGAATGCATTGTTTCTTATTTATGAATAACTTAAGAGTCTATGATTTCTTGATGAATGTGCTTCGACACAAAAAAATTGATGAATTTAGAGAAATGTATATTATTTAAAATAAAAAGTCATGATTTTCATATCATACATTTATACAAACACTTGTTCCAATTGTTTACAGAGACTTATTACAATATATATATATATATATATGGAATACAATCATGAAAATTAGTCATTTTTAAGAGATATTTGATGGGATAAGTTGTATTGTAACAACTTGACCTAACATGTTGTATATTGTTCATTTTGGGCCTTCTAGTCCTAGTCCACCCATATCCAAGGCTTCCACCCATGTCCCTCTCATGCTTTTGTTCTTTGCAACAACATATGATCCTAAAATATATACAACATTAACCATCTAGGTGGTGAAAGAGATATTTGATGGGATAAGTTGTATTATAATGACTTGACCTAGCATGTTGTATATTGTTCATTTTAGGTTTTCTAGTCCTAGTCCATCCATATCCAAGGCTTCCAGCCATGTCCCTCTCACGCTTTTGTTCTTTGCAATAACATATGATTCTAAAATATATACAACATGTTAGTAACCAGCACCACTTATAAGGCACTAGCTCTGGACGCTCGTTTCTGATTTGGGATCTCATAATTGCCTCATCTTAAGACGAGTTGTTCTTGGCTCTGATATTAAATGTAATGGCATGACTTAACATGCCATAATATTATTCGTTTTGGGCCTCCCAGTCCATCCATATCCAGAGCTTCCATCCGAGTTCCCCTCAAGGTTTTGTTCTTGACATCTACACATGACTCCATTAAATGTAATGGCATGACTTAACATGCCGTATATTGTTCGTTTTGGGCCTCCCAGTCTATCCATATCCAGGGCTTCCATCCAGGTTCCCCTCAAGGTTTTGTTCTTGGCATCTACACAAGACTCTAAAACGCTTATAACATATAAGTAACCAGCACCACTTATAAGGTCCTTGCTCTGGACACTCGCTTCTGATGTGGGATCTCACATATATACCCATCATATAAAGCATCTTGATATGAACATTATTAAAACAATATATAAGCTTGAGATGATCTTCCTTTTATTATATTTTTTGACTTAATGGAGTACCTATTTATATATTTAGTATATGATGTAAAAGCTAAAGGCCTTGTGCCGTATAAATGGATATATCTGTTTGAGATGTTAGTAATTACATGCCTTTTAAACAATTGTCTATTGTCCTTTGATAAATATTTCATTATTTAAACTCTATTTACTTCCTTAAAGATAATTGTTTAAACTCAAAAAAGATTAAAAACAAATTACATGTTAAAACAAAACTTTGATACGTAAAACATGTATTATTACATATATTATTGAAAAAATTTAATATTTATCTTATATTATTTTAAACTTCATTTAAAAACAAAAATCAACCATATTTCAAAATATAATAATGATAGTGAATTGTATTCAAAAGAAAATCTGTCTATATTTTAACATTCCAGATGACTACTATTAAAAAATAAAATAATAAAAAAGTATTTAATTAGAAAAATAAATAATTATATACTATTTAACTACAATGAATTAAAACAAAGTACATCAATTTTATAATTTTAAATTAATTTCTCTTGTACTCAATCCATTAACATTTTTAATGACAATCATCAACTATTATTATCCAATTGGAGGATGCCGGTATACGTGTTGAAATAATGATGCAGCTCTCTTAACTTGCAGATATAGAGGAGCACTCGAGCTTTCTTTGAACCTTTTTGTTTTTCATTCACTCGACTATATACACGGATGTAGTATTTCCTATCAATTCGAGTCACGGAGAAGATCAATTTTGATGACACCTTTTGCATTAGAATATGCATACATAAAGGTAATATAAGTTGACTCAACACTTTGCACAAATATAGATCCGTGCTCAAACCATCATTATTCTTAAATTCAGCATCTGGTAGAACACACGAACTTCTATTTGTAGCCAGGCAAATCTTATTCTACTCTCTTCTAGAAAGAACAGCCTATCCACTGGTTTCTGTGTGCAGGCATTTGATTCAGGTGTAGCGTGTTGTCATGCATTTGGAATCGCCAAATACATTTCATCACTTGCACGAGAGAACGAAATGCCAAGATTTAACTGGGATATAACCTGCAAGTATCTAAATCTTCCTGCAAATGACATAAAATTATATCCTCGTAGTTCAACTCTCAGATGTTGTTGGTTCAGGAGGTCCTCTAGCAATTGGTATCCCACCACCAAAATTAGTTTTGAGCTTTGCATAATCCACATAGATGACTCGTCCATTCAGTGACTGCAATGCATTTTACTTGTTATTCCTGAGATTTTGAGTTCAATAAAAAATGCAGAGAGGAATCCAAATTTACCTTCCCATTCATCTCGTCCAGAGCTTTCTGAGCTTCATCTTCAGATGCATAAGTTACAAAACCAAAACCTTTTGATCTGTCCAAGGCTCGGTCCATCACAATTTTAGCTGGCAAAGGAAAAAGAATGTTTACTAGGACTGATCAAATAATCCATGCTTAGAGATTTCATCGCAGTGAACTTCAAAATACCTTCAACAACCTGACCATATTGAGAGAATGCTTCTGATAATCCATTCTCTGTGGTGTAAATTGACAAGCCTGCAACATAGCACATCGCATGGAAGAAAAGAAAAATTCAATTAGTTTTGGAGAATTACAGCCATGCTAAATGTCCATGGCCATCTAAGATGCATAAAGATAATTGCAGTTCATAAGTAAAATGACAGTTTTTGGCATGTTAAACTTGTGAAGAGAAAATATTATAAACAACAACTACCATCCAAAACTCCATCAGTCTTGGCAAGTTTCTTATTTAGTTTACCACAGAAGAAACCAAAACCAAAGCCAGCCAACCCACCTTAGATTGGTCTGGTTGAATTTGTTTACCAGTTACACCCAAACAACTCGCATTCTAGACATTCGTAATTTACACTAGCCTTTTATAACAACCTACTTTCCCACTATATCAAAAACATCTTACAATACACTTAAGTTTCGGCAGAGCTAGACTGCTATATATATATACCTGCTTAGACTACGGGAAGAACATAACTATCCCAGTCACAAAACTTCTTTAGTACATTCAACATTATGTTGCCATAGCAGCACATAAGAAGTGTTTTTAATAAGAAAAGTTGCAAGTTTCCCTGCCATCAACTCTGCTAGCTTATTGTTGAAAGACTGCTTACTTCCCCCACCACACAAAAACCATGAATCTGATTGTGTTATTACTTCAATTAACCGATCGAGGAAATTGCTAAAAGTGTTTCTTGGCTTAAACAAAGCAATGAAGTGTCAAGATTGAAGCAGCCAATAGATGAGCAAATTGTTAGATATTTGTGGCGGGGATGGATGAAAAGTTGATAACCCAACAAGATTTCTTTTTTTTTAAAGGAAGAAAAATAGAACATAGAAGTAAGCAGCTAAAATAATCCATCAAATTAAAAATTACGAAACATAGCCATGAACACACTCCTAAGTCAAGTAGTTTTTTGGTTCAGACACCTTTACGAAATTGATGGATCAGACAAAAAAAATTTCTTTAGAATCACTCTACTTATTCAATTTGATGTTTTCTAACATAGAAAGAAACGATAAATATCAAGTTTAAAAGTGTTATCGTCGTGTAGTAGAAGAGAAGAGAGTAGAGCAGAGTACCTCCAACAAAGAGTTTAGTGGTTATGCCTCGCTGCCAAATGAAAAGGGCAGTTGGAGCAGCAACAAGTTTAGCACGAATACTTGAAAGCATAAAGCATTTCTCTCCCGCGATTCTTCTAAGTGCGGCAGCCATTTACCAAATCCCTGCTTGTGTTTGTTTTTGATATTTTGGGGAGGAGAGGACAACTCCAGGTTGAGGCTGTTTCTGCGAGGAGGGTTCTGTTTATATATGATGCCCTTCTGGGTCGGGTGGACTTGCTAGTTACGAGCATGTTTTTGACAGCCCAAGTGTTGGTCGGTGTTTGTTTGTGTTGGACTTGGATCCCCTAGTCCACAGCCCCATCCCAATATCCATTCCTCGCCGCTAAGTCTCGTGTTATTTCACCACTCACCAGTTCGTGTTGGTTATGAGGGTGCATTTTTTTTTTTTTTTTTTTCACCAGTTCGTGTTGGTTATGAGGGTGCAATTTTTTTTTTTTAAAAAAATATATTAGAATAATTTTTTAATTTTAATATCATCATATTAAAATAATTAAAAAAACATCAATTTAATTTTTTTCAAAGCAAATATGCTTTTAAAAAGCACCTAGAAATAAAAACTATCACATGCCCATATGGATTTGTGCCTACTAATTATTAATTAATTAATATTAAAAGAAACTAAAAGTTTTTACTATTGCTCAATATACAAAATAATGTGGAATTTGACTTGATGATTTCCTTTAGCCAGCTTGATATGAAATTCTTTTAATGCTGGGAAAAACTTAAAGTTGGTTAATACTCAAATTGAAAAAATAAAATTTTATTTTATTTATTTTCAACCCAAACTAAATGTTCCACCCCATGTTTTGTCACTTAATTTTTTCTTTCAACATGATCCTTTAACATATAGTTGAATGTGGAATTGAATTTGATGATCATTTTTTTTTTATTGATTTTAGGTTATTACTACACCGTGAAAAAAAATCTAAAATTTGGTTAATACTTGATTTGATAAAATAAAATATAATTTTATTAATTTAAAACAAACTGAATATTTAGAGAATAGATTTGAAATTGAAACAAATACCCATCCTCTTTTTTTCTTTTTTTTCAAAGCTAGAGATTGAAGTAGAGAATTGATTGAAAATGTAACAGCGCCAACTTGTACAAGATATCGTTGTCCTACGGTGATGCATGCAGCTTCCTCAACAAGATGTAAGGGTGGCCTAACTTAGGGTCATTAAAATTGTCTCGACAAGGACTTCCTCTTGAGATGGTGCATGACAACAACGAGGATCCGACGTGGCTTTAGCAACCTATTTTTATTCTCTCTTTCATCTCCTTGATTTTCAGACCTCACTCTTTCCAAATTATATTTACAGGACCATAAAAATAAAGACACCATTCTCTAATCGCAGGGATCAAACCACAATTTTCAAATAATTAGAAAGAAAAAAGGCGATCGTGGAAGTCGAAAACTTCATTTCTCACAGCTTGTCCTTACTGGCTTGCTGCTACACATCAAGACATATCCAGTACAGTCCTACTAGAGAACCTAAAGAAACTGACATCACAAGCTCTATGCTCAACCTCTGAGGCGTTTTCTATACCTATTGTTACAACATTACATTGAACGAGAGAACCCATTCCTTTGGACCAACCCAGAGCTATACCCCCATTATTTCCAAGGACCAAGAGCTGTCTGTACAGAGAACTCATGTTACAACCATTCTGTATTTGCCACATCTGTCAAAGGGAAGGTCATTGTGTATCTTCAATACCTCATGGATGGTGCACCTTCAGCAGTGCTTGATGAAACATGTCAATGAATTGATCATCCTAGCATAAGAACAAATCAACAAACAATAATTTAGACAGATGCTCACTTCTCTCTTTTCTTACTTCCTTTCTTCTTCTTCTTCTTCTTTTTTTTCAAAAGGAAAAGGAGATATCAATAATTCAAAAATCGCTTAGTATCCAAGCAAAGTAGTGGCTTTTAAAATTTAAACAAGAGAGAATAGGTGGTTCTTTTACCCTGCACAGATATTAAAAGTATAATCTTACATTAAATAAGTAAGCGAATGACATAAAGGGGAGATGTAAGGATAAGAAAAGGATCAAGTACCTGAATAAGCATCAGAAGTGCATCACGGACTTTGTCCCTGCTAATTAGAGGTGTAGTGGCAGTCGAACTAGGAGTAAGAGATGGTGGTGGTGTGGGAGGTGGGAAGGGTTGAAGCATTGGAGTGCCATATGGTCGTTGCAGATTTAGGGGAGGCTGAAGTGCAGGAGCACTATTAAGTGGTGAGGAGATAGGGGGTGGCAGCAATACAGATGAGGAAGAAAGGGGAGCAAAAAATGAGGGCTTCACAAGATTAGTGACATGACTGCCACTGCTGATTGGATCAGGAGTGCCATGGATGGTTTTTGAGGTGGGTAAAGATGAATTAGGAAGAGAAGGTATTTGTGGAACTAGTGGAGAAGGCATAACAACACTAGGTGTATGGGAGGATAATGGAATGGTGGGAGAAGGCTGATATGGCTGTCTTGAATTTGCTACATTACAAGCAGTGCTTCCAATATTCATGGCTGTCTGCAAGAATAGTATCAAAAACTACTCAGGCATGTTAATATATATATATATGGTTAAAGTACAGAAAATTTAGCGAAATCAGACTAGAAAAGCATAGAAAGCAAGCAGTAATGGGATTGGTGGTTAAATTAGTGCTGGGTAATGATTATTACTATTACACTGATAGCGATAGAAACTCAATCAACAAAAGGGGATCACAAATTAGGCATTTGACAATAATGCAAGTGTATATTCAGGCATGGGATTGATAGTTTTCAGTAGAAAACATGCAAGTTTGAAATGAACCAACCATGTCAAGTATCTAACTGACAAACAGAATCCTAAATGGCACCATAGCAGAATTTACAAATATATTAATTGACAAACAAAGTATAAAATCCAAAGAGCAGTTCTCCACATAGTGTGTAAAAATAACTCTTGAGAATAAGCAAAGAAGTAAGGCACTTACACTAAAGAAGTTCTCAAACGAAGAATCTTCAGTGCTATCATTGGCAGCAGAGGCAGTTGATGATGGTTCCAAGGGACCTTCAAACACTGACATATTTGGGACTGCTTCAAGCTCCTCATATTCACTAAGTGATATACAGTTTGTGCAAACAATAAGTTAGATGGCATGCTAGAAAGTCCATTTTCTCAATCAGCATAACTAAACAACAAATTGATGATTCAACATCAGCAATCACAGTTACATGTTTATATCAAGTTTTTAAAATTCCAGAGCAACATCCAAATGCACCGTCAATTTTGAAGTCATGAAAGCTTGAGGACAAAACAAACTGATAATATATGAGGGAAGTGATCATGGAGATGCACTCTCATTTATGTTCATAGAAGAAGAATTTCTTCACATCCTGATTTTACCAACATAAAATGTTTCTTAATTATTTAAAAATCACTTAACAATCCACGTTGATTCTTTTCATAATCAACTATGTTAAGATTCCCATATCCAATCCCAACCAATTCTTGGTTGAGCTGAATTAAAGGCTATATTCACATAGAAATATTCTAACAGCAGTAAGCATATCATGTGTTAAATTTAAACACCATTCGAATCAACTATACAAGATATCCAATAACTAATTGCAGATGACTCAATTATACGAGAACAAAATACCTTTTGACTGAAGCTACTTTTGGCTTTGCAGGAACCTTTGAGTAAGCATTAAGGATCCTGTAAACAACAATAAAATCTAATTAATAAATCCAACCAGCTACTAATAATGCAAACAGCACCTAATCATTCACTCAAAACCCAAGCTCTAACATGTATTAGGGAATTTAGAATATTTAAGTAAACATCAAACAAAATCTAACTAAATAAGTTGTCAAAGAAGAATTAAATTGTATGTACCTAGTAAAGAGGTTGGCAACATCCTCACATTCACGCCGATTGTAAAACCAAATACCATTAACTTCTTGAGATTGATTCCGATACAACAAATACGGAGCTTGAACTTCATACTCAAAATCCCCCAATAAATTCTCCACTAAGTTTTCTGCTCACAAAATAAATAAATAAAAAAATTCAAAAACCCACCCAATTGATAACATACAAAAAAAGAAGAACAAATAGAAACCTGTGTTTCGCCGGTTCATTACAATAAACTGAAACCGCGGTTGAGTATTCCTATAGAACAAAAAAAAATCAATATAATAATAATTACAAAACACAAAAGAAATAATTAATTCAGAGTACCTCTTGACAACAAAGAGAGATCCTTCAACATCCTTGCGGCTCTGAAATCGGAAACAATGAAATTAAGAAATCAAGAGTGATAAAAATCGAACATCAGATTCGAATATAATTGAAAAAAAACAGACGTAAACAAGCACGCACGTACCCACTGACTGGTTTCGATATTGAAAGCGTAAAAAGTGACATGTGCGGCTGTGATTAAAATCTCTTCGATGAAAGGATCCATTCGCTGGAGTACAGTGAGATTAAGCACCTTAGTGCTCTGTTGATCCAGATTTGGCATCAATTTCCCTGTCTGTGACATTTCCTTCCAACCCTAACTCAAACGATCAGATTTTCCTTTCGATTTTCCCGGGAAAAGTTGTTCTAGTTTTCAGTAGTAAAAGAGAGCAAGAGCGAGAAGGAAGAGGGGAGACGCGTGTGGGGCCGGGACATGACTTATGAATTTTGACAGTGGAGAGACGGTACAGTCCACTCCACTCCACTCTATTACTTTACTATTAATTATTATTATTATTAATTAATTAAAAAAAAACTAAAAGGGCGTGAAATCGCTATAGCGTTAATTACTATTTTTCCTGACAAATAATTATGAATTATAACAATATTTTTTTTTTATTTTTTTATTAATATAAATATTCAAGTTAATTTACGTGAATCCCAATTAATTTTATAATTATTAAAATTAATAATTATATAAATCTCTAGTGGCATGAGATTTATAAGACTTAATCTAATAATTTTTAAAGAATAAATTCAGACCTGACCAATTAAGTTACATCTTTTAAAGTTAAATTTTTAAATTTTTATTAAATTATTTTTAATCCAAATTAAAATTTAATGGTATAATTTTTTGAATAAAAATTAAATTGAAAAACAAAGAATCAAAGTAAAAAAAAATATACAATAGGTTATGACTTTAAAATTTATTTGAAAACTTTATTT